TTAAATTCTGGGGCTTTTAACACACATATTGGTAAAAGTGCAAAGTTCACAGGAAGAAAATTTAAGTAATAGCATTACTCTAGTCCTGAAGAGAATCTTAAGGTATTTAGAGGCCTTATCTAAATCTCATCCCTAAGTAATTGCAAAGACTCCTATTGAATTCAAAAGGTTTTGAATCTGACTCGAAGGAACAAAACCCTCCGCTTCTGCAAGCATAAAATGGCTTTCTTGAACATGATTAATCCTGCTAAACTTAGAGGGAGTCAATGGAACAAATCATATGGGTAATTCTTTGCAGGTTGGGGCCTTAAGTAACCCTTTCCGTGGTCTGATGAAGAGGGTGTAATTCTTGAAAGGTTGGCTTTTGATTATTTTTTTTTTTCCCCCACTTGTAACTTTTGCATGAATCTTTCCCTTGATTTTCAGCCTTTTGTGTATATTGGAAAACTTGCCCTCCGTTAGTAACTTGGTTTTGGAATGGGATACTTAACTCAGTAGTATAGCTAGGTATATAAATACTGTTTTAAGATGCCAGCTTTGTGTTTATCTTTTAGAAACTGAGTGTAGCCTTGTGATATATTAATTTAAATTCACATATTAACTTTAAAATAATCAGAATATAGGCATACTGTATTTTTCGCTTTCTGCGTGTATTCTGGTTATTGAGAAGTCCAGTAGAAATGTGCATGACTAATAGATGAATTTGAGTAAATAACTCTCTTCCTATGCAGTGAAGAAAAAGAGCAGTATTGACTTAATTACCATGGATGGCACAGATTTTATAGTTTCTAGGATGAAAGCCTGACCATCTGTGCACCTCTAGCCCAGCAGAGAACTAAATATTGTATTTTTTTTTTCTCTCCTCAGCTAATTGCACTTAAACGAAAGATTTTTCCAAGGAGAAGGATCCAAAAGGAAGTTGGTCATGAACGAATCAAAGTGTAGAAGAGCTTTATTTTGGAGATCAGTCTACCTCAAGATGTGATAAGCATTTAAAATCTGTCTCTCAAGTGTCTTTTATGGTTTGACGTTTAACTGCGTTGATATGAAGAAAAAAAAAAATCACGCATCTACAGTTCCAATCTCCGCAGTACTCTTCATGATACACAAGCTGCTGGAGCTGTGACAATGCAAAACAACAACAAAAATAATTGCAGGAAACTTGTACATAGGCAGTTTTCAACAGATCTTACTTTACAACTGTTAGTTTATGGCCATGTTATCCTTTTTTATAAAAAGGGTTACCTAAAGAAATCTAGCTGCATTTATTGCAGTGGATGTTGCCAACTAGATAAAATGTTGGAAGGCAAAGTTGTTTGGGATCAGCTTAACAGGTCCTTGATCTTGCATTCCAAAACATTTTGCAAATTTCTGTCGTTGCTGCTGGTTTTAATTTTTTTTTTTAGCCCTACAGGAAAATTGAGAATTATGTAACTTGTAATTTAGATTTAGTATACATTTATTGATGTGGACATTCTTTAAAGCACAGTGACAATTCATCCCCCTATTTGTAGTATTTACTTGGGATTTGAAAAACGTGTGCTAATAAAAAAAATACACAGTAAAAGAACAGTTAATGGTTATTTGAAAGATACTTTATATATCTTGTGTATTATATTCCAAAGAAAGTGGTGTTATTTCTTGACTTGATTACAAAGAGAGGGTTGTAATCAAATGAAAATGATCAAGGTACAGAATTTTACAAGCATTGTAAATACAAAAGCAAAAGTGCCTCTCTATATGAATGCGTAACAAACTTTTAATGTAGCAATGTATGGGAGCAGTGTTTCACTTCCGAAAACAATATTTGTACTGACCTATGAAGCTTTGGTGTTTTCAAATTTACCAGGGTTTGGCCCTATATTTTGCTGAGACATCAGAATAGTGTGGTTTTATGTGGGAAAGGATACTGAATCTTTTCAAGCAGAAATTTTTGGTGGTGTATCTTCAGTTAATTGTATTAGCAGTATTCAAAAAAGCATTAATTTTTGTAAGCAGATGATGTACAGAATGTATGTGCATATGTATTGTAAGATACTTGGTTTGCTTTGAAATGAACTAAAATGTGATATAAGTTTTGTCTGTTTTTGATAAATTAGCCATTAATATGTATGAGTCCTTATGTTAAAAGTTCTTATTTTTCCCTTAAAAAACTTTCAACAGTAATAATTTAATATTAATTTGAAGTATGAATGGATTCTCAAAGTAGAATCAAACTTTTGATCACTGTAAAAATGCAAGCACTTTTAATTAAGGTTGTATTTCATGCTAGCAAATAGACTAAGATCTGTGGGCTTTTTAAACATTTGGCATTCTAATCAAAATAGTTGGAAAAACTCGGTTGAAATTTCAAGACAGTTTTCCT